TCGCCCAGCAGTTTGGGACCTGCGAGGTGAAGCGGGGATTTTGTCCATGACCAGGATTTAGTGAAACTTGAGCTTTCGCTGGGGTGTCCATCGGTTCCAGGAACCCGTATCAAAACACAACCACCACTCAGGTTATCCTTACTTAGAGTGGTTGAGATTGGTTTGGGGGTTGAACCCCTGGCTCTTGAGGGTGCGGTTTCCCTCCCCCAGAACACCGAACAGCCGGAAGGAAGCTTATTCCCAATATCCCCTAAGTTGCTGGCTTGGTGTTTTCTTTTGAGCTGCTACCCTTTGAACCACCAGGACTCCAAGTCTTTCCACATTTTTTGGCCACCCCCCCCCCCCCCCACCCCCAACCCCCAATCCCAACCCCCCCCTCCCGCCACGGAAACCCCGAAGCCCTCGATCCGCAGGCCGGCGCCTGGCGCCCGGCGCTGCACCTGGCGCAGAGCTGCGCCGCCCTGGGCGGGGCGACGAGCTGCGCGCTGGGCGCGGCGTGCGCGGCCAGCGGGAGGTGGGGCTACTGGAGGCCGGGTTTTGGCAGTTTGGGGCTTTGGCAAAGCGCATTTGTCTAGGAACTAGGAGGGTTTTGGGGGGGGGAAGCTTTAAACCTTTAGCAGGGGAGTGGTGCGTTTTGTCAAGGGATGTTAGGACTTTAACTTTTTGCCAGCTACTGGGTTTTCCATTCCGCGGATTAACCAAGCGCCGGGTTAACCAAGGGCTCGGGCCCTCAGAACGTGGTCGTTGCGTTACCGGGTTCCGGGGGGGGAGGGGGGCTGACCCGGACCAGGCAGGTCCTTCGTTGGGTCAAAGGGGGCAAAGCAGAACTGGGCCAAGTTCCAGATGGGCTTTGGATCTGGATTTAAAGAAAGGTACCCAGTTTCCAACAGTGATGGAAGCTTGCTCTGCGTTTTGAAAGACCGCAGTCCTCTTGAAAAGGCTTGAATCCACTTCCACAATTGTTGGGGAGGTGCCAAGCTCCAGTTAGCAGGGTCACAAGGGAGCAAGTCTTGTTATCTCAGTCTTACCTACCCATAGCCTTTGTACCTTTCCAAGTGGATTGAGCATCCAAGCATGGCCTACCCTGTGCGACCAAGTTTTCGCGGGCAAGAAGCCACAGGAGGTTCATTCAGAATGAAAAAGGTTTGCGTCAGACACCGAAAGTTGGTTTCCCTTAAACTAATCCCAAAAGAGGGTACCCTCCAAAAGACACACACACGCACACACACACACACACATACGCACACGAACACGCACACGCACACGCACGAGCACACGCACACGGACACGCGCACGCGCACGCGCATCACGCGTGCGTGCACGCGCAAGCGCGCGCGCACGCGCAAGCGCACGCGCACATGCACCCGCATGCGCACGCGCGCGCACACATGCACACGCACACGCAAAAACACTCCTACACGCGCACGCACACGCACACGCACACGCACACGCCCACGCCCACGCCCACGCGCACGCGCACGCGCACGCGCACGCGCACACGCACGCGCACGCACACGCACACGCACACGCACACTCGCACGCACACGCACACGCACACGCACACGCACACGCGCACGCACACGCACACGCACACGCACACGTGCAGGTGCACGCGCACGCGCCCGCGCACGCGCACGCCCGCGCACGAACACGCACACGCACACGCACACGCACACGCTCACGCGCACGCGCACGCCCACGCCCTCGCGCACGCGCACGCGCACGCGCACGCGCACGCGCGCGGGCACGCGCACGGGCACGGACACGGACACGGACACGCGCGCGCACGCGCACGCACACGCACACGCACACGCACACGCAAACGCACACGCACACGCACGCGCATGCGCACACGCACACGCACACGCACACGCACACACACACGCGCAGACGCAGACGCACGCGCACGCGCATGCACGCACGCGCACACACACGCACACGCACACGCACACGCACACGCATGCGCACACGCACACACAGGCACATGAAGCCACCGGGGAAGACCATTCCGCCCTCAAATCCATTGAGCTCCTCCAGGCTTGCGCTGCAGCTGCTGTTTTTCTACGAGCCCGACATGATCAGCTTCTGCGATGCGAAAAAAAGAGGGAGGTGGAGGAAGCTAGAAAGATCCTGATGCATACAGATGGACAAAGACTTGCTTTGCAGCTGACCACAGCATAGTTTTCGAGATCTCAACCCGCTGGCTGACGCTATGTTGTAGGTTCTCCCTGAATTTGTACGTGGTTGAGCACGTGGGGAAATCGCGCGTTATGAGAACCCCTTCATCACACCCGACTTGAGAGGGCTTGGCTCATTTTGCAGATCCCGTCCGCACTGTAGGGGAGTCAACCAACTTCACCCCCCACCTTCCCCGTTCTAAGACCCGGAAAAACCATTTTTGCATCCCCAGGGTTTCGAACCAAGCAACGACGAGAGGGCAAAATGTTGTGCTCTTCCATGTCGGTTTGTTTGTGTGGCCCAACCTCTTGGTGCAACCGTGCGTTTGGCAAAGCCCCAACCAGGATCCTAACAAACATGAAGGGGGTTTTGGGGGTACTGTAACACTAAACTTAATGTTAACCCCGGATAAATATACGCCAGCTTATCAATATGGGGGTGTCCCTGGTTTTAGTGGGGATTCGCTTTTGGTTGGGGTGTTCCCCAATATTCATAAACTGGGGTTTATTAATCCGGGGTCAACATTAGTCCTCGTCGGAGCAACTACTTACCTCAGCCTCGACCTAAGGCTTCGGCTCCGCACTGGCGGCTTGCACGCAAGCAGAACGCAGAGCGCGCTTCGGAAAATTCGCGCCAACCGTCGCAGGGTGAGAGTGGCCCTGATTCCGGAGTGTTGGGGTTTAGGTTTTGAGGGTCAATGGTGCAACATTTTTTAACCATGGCTGCAGAAATTGCTGTAGGTTTCCTCAAGATGTGCCAAACCTAGTCCCCAAACAGGCGCAAAAGGCAAAAGGGCCCGTGAGAATTCGGCAGTGCCTTCTTGAAAGAGGGAGATGAAACATTTGGGTGTGTCTCCAGAGGGTACGGAACCAAGAGGCCAGCACCAGTTTCAGGGGCTTCGATACTTGACACGACCTGTTTGCTGAGAGTTGCGCCAAGAAGCAGGGGATTCAATTGCAATAAGGGTCTAACTTCAGTCGTCTTAACGTCACGCAGCGGATCTTGATCGAGATTCCCGCGTTTAACGGCACAGCGACGTTGGACGCGGGTGACACGCGCGCCATGCCGGCGGCGTTCCACCGGCCCCCTCAAAGCCTACTTTGGAGAAATTATTGCTAGTGTTCAGCAGGGAATGAGGGAATGAATCTGGGGGTCCCCTGGAAGGAAACCACAAGGGATGATTTATAGGGGTCATTCCATTTCTCATTCCCTACTGAGCACCAGCAAGCATATTTGGGCTTTAAGAGTTAAGCTGCACCCGAAAAGTTCCACAGTCTTTTTGGGAATCCTCTACGCCAAGCTTTTCTCTATTTCGGCGCAAGGGCCCCTAAAGAAGTATGGGTGACCCAGGATGAGGGTGATCCTCCCATCAAAACTGCACGACACGATGCAGGCTTCGATTTAGGGACAGTTGCCTTTGCGCTAAAGCAGCCCTTGTGCACGCTGGCACGCTTACCTTGTTGAAGACGGAGCCAGGCAAGACCCGCACTGACGCAGGTTTTCACCGGTTTTGAGATGCGGCGCGCCCTCTGATGGCGTGCGGCGGTGTTTCATGTCTTTTTGCACGCTCTCCTTTCGGAGTCTCATGTCGACCCCTTCTTAGTACGCATACTTCCGAAAGGGCTGCGCTCTCAGGGGAGTCCTGGCTAGTCGAACCACTCCCGCCGGCCCAGCTCCAAAATGGCCACCTAGCGATGAAAGGGCGTTATGCTAAGCTGTCATGAAAGTCGCTCAAGAGGCAGGTTGGAGGGAAGCCCCCCCGGTTTCGGGCTTTGAAAAAGCCCAAAACCAAGTGCAGGTTCCGATTGGGGACAGTCAACTTTTCCTGCCAACTTGTTTGCATCCAGACGGATGTGTGTCTTAAAGCAACCACCCCATCCCTTTCCATTCTTGGGGTTCCTTTGAGGCCTTACCAGCCAGGGCTTGGAGCGCTTGGGACCTCGGAATACACTGGTTCAACCCCTTCAACTGGCTTTCCTTTAAATTTGGGCACGTATCAAAGGGGAACTGGGACCCCAATATATGGCCTGATTCCTTTATGTTGCCCAAGGGTATACTTGCATGAAAAGGCTACCCTCCGGAAAAGCACGAGCCCGTAGGATCTTTCAACCAGTAACATGTCGCACCTTTTGGGGGGGCGACTTGGGGTCGGCGCAGCCTTCGACGCCTCAAGTCGATTAGCCAACGCCTGCCGGTTTTTGGGCCCTTGCCAACTTGCGTGCGGAGACGCAGAACTGCGCGGTGGTGAGCGGGCTGGGATTTCCCCATGCATGAGGGCGGCTTCTTGGACTTTCGACCCACTTAGTCAATCCCAGCCCTGAGTGGGCAATGTCCTTTCTCCTGAAGGGTTCTCGATTGGAGGGTTAAAAGCTGGTCTGCATGGCAGAAGTCCAGAGCATATGGCGGCGTTTTGCTTGGTGTGCCATCTTTTTAACGGGTCCTTCCCGTATTCCTACGACCGCTCCTTCTCAGAGCTTGGATAAGTGTGCGAGGCCCCTGAGAGGTCAACAAGTGCCGTTTCATGCTTGAGGTGTGTCACATAGACATCGACCCAGAGAGGCCCCTTGCGGAAGCCTTCTTGAGGCCGCTAGTCAGGGACCAACCCGAGCGGCTAGAGGGTAAGCAAGCATTACCTCAGTAAAAACCAGCTGCCGGATCAGTTGAACGAAGCCTTGTGGGCTGCCAGGCTGCCAGACCTAGGATAGGACCAAATCCTTGATTGATCAACGGAGGGGGGGGGGCAACGCATGGGGATCCGTATCACTTTTGGAGGGAACATCCTAATCTGAGAGTTCCTTCAATCACTTTTGGAATTTTGGGGTCGGCATGTCAGACATAAGCTTTGCACTTTTGCCCCCTGGGGGTTTGATCATATTCCCTTTTAATCAGCAACAGCAACATATTTTTGCAAGGGGGCCTCAGTCTGGCCAAACATTGCCACGAAACCCGCAAACAGGTCCAACCCCAAAAGAGCCCTTTCAAAGTGGTCATTGATCCTTCACGGGGGCTAAGGTGGGGGTAGCATTTCCTGGCCAAACGATCAACGAATCCATGGGAAAGTTGTGTCTTTGGTGGCACCCGAAGTCCCGAGGCGCCCATCATGCTCGGACGAGTGACCAGCAGCATCCGTTTTCGCCGCGCGGATTGGAGCGGGGAGAGGGGGTTTCATATGTGGAAGGCTATTTGGGAGCCTTTGGCTATTGAATTCCACCGACCACTTATCTTGGTGGCTCCCAGCCATCCGGTTCCTTAGCTTCTTAGCCTTTTAGTGTTTAGTGGTAGTTTCCATTTAACCCACCAAAAGTTAAACTTTCAGCGGGGGATCTGAGGGCAGCCCAGTTATTAGGGTGCAGAACCCATGAACATTCATAGCCAGATGTGCACAATCAGACCACTCTTCGAGTTGGGACCAATGAAAGAGCTCTTACTGGGAGCCATGACCATGGCCCACGTATGGAGTTTGATCATGGCGGAGTCACTACCAGTATTCTTGCCAGTCTTCTACTGATGTTTGAGGAGCAGGAGAAGGGGGGGGACTAGCCCCAAAGTTCCCCACAAAATCCAGCGGCGCAGCCCAATTTTCCCATGTCCTCTTGGGGAAACAAGCAATTTTGGGAGTGTCTCACTATGGCGGCCCCGAAAAATCACTGGTTTTATTTCTTTTGTTTCCTTCAAGGAAAGCCAACACAGATAGACCCAGGCATCCTCGAAGAGCCGGACACCGACTTTAGATTGGCCCAAAACATGGTCTGCTTGCTCCTGGAAGTTCCATGGGAGGGTGCTCCACATCATGGACCTCCCCTTAGAGTGCCTTCGGGGGTGGAAGCAGGGGAGGGCTAAGGATAAGCCTTATGACTGGTAAGAGACGCCCTCCCCCACCATTTTCCGGGAGGTCCATACATTGCTCTCAAAATCGGCGTTGCGCCCCCTGGGAGGTGAAGGGAAACCACAAGAGACACCACACCTGGAAGGGCCCATGTGCTCAGCGCAGCGCAGCATGTTCGGCGCCCCCTTTGGGCAAAGGGCAAGAAAGGGTTTGGTCATCCACCCTTCAGATCTTGACAACCGTCGCATTCCTTCGACAACCATGACCCATCGGAAGACTGCCAGGGCTAAATACCTTCACTCTAGGGGGGCCAAGTGGGGGTTTCCCAATGCGGGACCGCCCAGAAGGGATGTTCCCTATGTGTTAAGGGTACTTTGTTGTTTTTGTGTTTGTGGCGTTTAAGGAAAACCGCCACAAGGTTGGGAGGGCCGGGGTGGTTGTGGAGCTGCGAACGCAGAAACGGAAGCCTTCCTAAAGCTTGCCTGAGTCCTGACCCTTGTTTCACTTCAGCGGCGAAACGAGCCAAAACCCCAGAAATCCAATTAATTCAGAGTTTGGACATATTCGAGAGCTTGCAGAAGGTTTCCTGTCAGGCTTTCTTGAGTAGGACACGCGGCAAGACATGTGGAAGATTAGACTTGCGTTTGCGACTTTCTGTTTTACATCCCCAAGGCGAATCTTCTGCGAAGTGTTGTTTTTCTTTTTCGGATATAGCACGGAAAGGGGGTCATTTCCCACAATGTTGCAGGATGATGATGCAGGCCCTCTATTTTTTTCACATCTCGGGCCAGTGAATTGTGTCTCCCTGTGCGGCAGGCGCCCTGAGAATTTGCTGCTTGGCTGGGGCAAGACCCAATCATCCCACCCGCCTGGCACCCGCCTGGCACCCGCCTGTCACCCACTCCACTCGGCACCTACCACGTACCCGCACCCCGCACCCACGGACACGCACAAACAAGCACATACACAACAACACGCACGCACAAACGGGGCACAGACGGGACACAAGCGGGCAGACCCCCCTTTCCCTTTCCCCGCGCGTCCCGCGCGCTCCGCGCGCTCGCGGAGCGCGAGCGGAGTGCGAAGGCCTGGCGCGGGGCGTCAGCCAGGTGCTGGCGGAGCCCATGGCTTGGAACCAGGCGCATGGCCTCGGAGTCAGCCGACGTCTGGTGGAGTTTGATGGGGGGGGGGCCTCTTAGTGGGGTGGGGGGTCCCAAATCACTTGGGTGTCACCCCCCAACTGGAATGGGTCTGTATGAATCTGAAATTTCCAGTGAAGTTTCCATTAGAGGTGATGCTTTAAGGGGGGGGACCCTGACTTGGCTGTTAGGGAAAGCATTTTAGGGATGACGTGGGGGAGCTCACTAGATTTCCCACAAATCTTAGTGGACTCGCTTGGCCAGGGAACTTTAAAAGGGAAGCGGTGCCGCCGGGGAAAGCTGAAAGGGAGAAACAAAAGGGAAAAGCACAGGCCACAGAGGAAGACAAGGGGGGTAGATAATACAGGGATTTAAGTAAATCTACGAGCTTTTGTATTACACCCTGGGAATACACCCAACGGGTATTGACCCCATTTGGGCACATTTCCGGATATGACCGTGTTATTTTGAACCATTCTGGGTCATTTCCCAAGGGTGTAATCCCCGGGTAATACACAAATTTTTCAGATTAACAGTAAAAGATCCACTTTGGCCAACGCAAGAATCACCTTCAGCCAATGAGGATCCGAATCCTTGGAATCCTTCAAGGAATCCTGATTCCAGAATCTTGAGGTTTGCTTTATTGGGTGGTTTGTTCCTTTAGGCCAGCCCCCCTGAGTGGATTTGAGCGTAAGACTAGAATGTTCAGAATGGGAACAAGCAAATCCATGACAAATCCAATACTGCATCTGCTTCTGTTTTTTCTAGCAATCTGTATTCTCCAAGGATTTCCCTGGTATTCCCTCAGTATCCCTCTAATATTCCCCACGCATTCCTTCCGGAATCCCCTAGTATTCCCCAGTACTCTCCTGGTATTCCCCTTTTCATGCACGAGTATTCCTTTAGCATTTTCCTGTTATACCCTAGTATTCTCTCAGTACTCCCTAGTATTCTCTCAGTACTCCCTAGTATTCCCTCAATATTCCATAAGATCTCTTGGTAATTCCCTAGCATTCTCCTAGTATTCAGTGTTTTCCTAGTATTCACCCTTAGAACTTCTCCTGTATTCCCTTAATATTCCCCTAGTATTCCTTTCAGTATTCTTTTAGGTTTTAGGATTCTCTTGGTTTACCTCTAGTATGTCCTCAGTGTTCCCCTTGTATTCCCTCAACATTCCCCAAATAATACCCTAATTTGGCCCTACTATTCATTTAGTTTTTTTCCTCAATATTCCCAGTATTTCCTTAGTAGTTCCCCAGTATTCACCCTTAGTATATCTCTAAGTAGTCCCCGGTTGTCCCCTCGGTATTCCCCGCCTCTGCAAATGTGGGGGAACCACACTGTCTCTAGCGTGTGAATATAAAGGACCTAGTTGCGTTTGCAGCATCCGATGCCTGAAAAAAGAGACGCGTGCCAGGAAAATTGCCCAAACTGAAAAAAGAAAACACCGTCCCCCTGCTATCCCCTCGGTATTCCCCTGCCTCTGTAAATGTGGGGTAACCACACTGTTTCTTCTCGCGAAATGCAGGACCTAGATGCGGCTTTGCAGCATCCCATGCCTGGCAAAAGGAGAAGTGTGAAAGGAAAATGGCCAAAGCTGAAAACAACAAAACTCGAGGTAAACCAAGAAACAAAACAAACAAATCAATCCCGCAGACAAACGGTATTGGGCATGACCAACATATGTCCCTCGGGACTTTGGTTTTGAGCTTGTTTTTGTTTTCTTCCAGTATGTTTGGTTTTTGGAAATGGTAGTTCTTTTGGGTATTGGGCATGACCAACATATTTCACTCAGGGCTTTGTTTTTTAGTGTTCTTCCAAGTTTTATCGGTTTTTGGAAATTGGAACCCTTGCAGGCCCTTGAAGATTGCTCAACCACATGCACGTGAGGAAGACTCTGTTTTCGTGTTCGCTAAAAGCACACTTTGTAGGATTCCCCAACAACAAATACCACTCAGGAGGTTGGTTTCTGTTTAAGAGTTGCATCTTCTGGCAAACGCACGCGCGTTTTGGTGTTGGGAATGGTCAATCGGGACCCAAGCCGACCCTTTGCCACAAGCCTGGGGTTGCGCAGGCTCCGGTGATCGTTACCACGCTCCCGAACGGCGTGAAGGTTGGGCCGGGCAATGCAGAGGTCCATTCAAAGGGCCCCTCAATGTATTCACAGGACTCCCGGGGCAGTTTGGACATTTGAGAGGGTTTCCTCAGTTTTCCCTTTTGAAACCAGGTTCCAAAAGTGGCGATGGTTTCAATGGAAAGTAAGTTGCGACTTTTGAAGAGGAACTCAAGCGAGCCCTGCTTGAAGATGGCCTTTTCCGGGCCAACAACCCATCGAAACAATGTTCAGGTGAAAAAGCACCCCGTAGAACCCGCTGGATAGATGTGAATTCAAAACCCAAACCGAAAGGGTTGATGGGTTCATGCGACCAATTGAATTTCATCCTTTGTTTTTCTCTCTGAAGTTTAGGACAGTCCCCTGCCAGTTCGGATAACGAGAAGCTCTTGTGAGTCTTTAAGACTCCCTTGAAGCCAGGTTCCGAGTACGTTGGTGCTTTCTAGCCTTAGCGCAACGGTCCAAAACGCAACGGTTGGGGGGTGGCTGTGGTAAGTGGGTGACTTGGTTTTGCAGCTTCAGGCATTCCAAGAGGGGCTTTCTCACATACCGAGCGAGGGGCTGTGGGTTGGGCTTGAACATGTCTAATCGCTTGCATGTGTTTGTCTTGTTGTAGCAACTTTCGCCACCAACCCCGTGTTCGACTTCTGTCAATATTTCGCGCCAGGCTGGGGCAATTCACCCCCCCCCCTTGTTTTAATCATGCCGTTCCACATTTCAAGGTAACCGGGACATGGTTGTTCAACCACATGTTCATTTTTACAACCAACCCTGCTGCACTCGCGACATCCCCCACCAAGACCCACGGGATTGACAAACAGCTCCAACCCATAATTCACTCAAGTTCTTCCAGAGAAAACCCAGGAAAGAAGTCCATGGCCGACCAAGAATTCCCCCACCTCGCACCACCCCCACCCCACCCCACCCCACCCCCCCACCCCACTCCACCCACCCACCCACCCCACCCCCAGCGAGGTGGCTACCAAGGAGACCTTCGCCGAGGCCTTTGGCCTGGCTTCGTCGATGGTTGGCTTCGTCGGGTTCGCTCGGGGCAAACAAAATTGGCCAACCCGAGCCACGCAACGCGGCCCGGTTCAGCCCGGTTTGGAGGCTCATGGCTTCCCAGAAGCTGCCAACTTGGTCAGCCATCTGGTTGAGGTTCTTAGCTCGTGGTTGGAAAGGATGTCCATTCAAGCCACGAACAGTGGGAAGCTTTTGGCGGGGGGATCTGAAAACGGACAGCCCAGAAAAGGGGAAGACTCAAACATGGAGAAACAGTCTTCCTCAAAAGGGCCAGGAGCAACTCATCTTGAGGGAAGCTCATCTTTTGTTGGGATTCGGGTTCCCCCTACTTTCCAAATTTGCCCACGACCGCAAAGCCATTTGTGGGGGTTCTCAAAGTAGGCTTGCATTTTCCAACCGACAAAGTACTGTGGCTGGACAAAATTCACGCGGATCGGTGGTTTATCAACCAGTATTTGCAGGTTGTCATCCATTCCAACTGGTGCGAAATGGATCTGGCGCTACTGTGGATTCAACGTTTTTTTTTTGGTTTGCCAACCAAAAGGGGCCATGATGTCGAGAAGCTCCCATATGTGAGTGCGTATGTGTGCTTTGACACCTTGGGTGGTTCTGAAGGAACACCAAAAGCATTTTGGCGTTCCCCTGTTTTGAGAAGCACAAATTCGGGTGTGTTTTTTGGAGGTACCATTTTTGGTTGGTGGTAAAGGGAGACCAAAAGGAGAACCAAAATCAATTTGAAACCCTTTTCGCCTTGCTTGGAGGCCACCAAAAGGAAAGCTGGAAGCCATTTTTGGGGTCGACACAAAAAGTTGGGCAATCCCGTTTAACAACTCCCTATAGTTGGGCAATGTTGCGTCCGCTAGAAAACGCGATGCCGAAGGGTGATTGTTCAATGGTGGGTTAAGCACGTTAAAAGCACGTCAAAGGGGAATCCTGCAAGAATCTTAGGGGCTGAGCACATTTTATGAACCGTCCAAAGAAAGGTGACACAGGCCAAAATCGGTATGCCTTCTTCTTAACCCGGGCCACAATTGCACAAGTCGGCAAGGACGGGGTTCCAGTACTTCAGCACAAACCTATGACCAGTCCTGAAAGGCCCTTGACTTCCAGTTGTGGCTATGCATATCTCTCTGAATCAGTATGGCCGTGTTTGTCCTTTTGAGGCTACTTGTTTCTGTGGTGGTTTAAAGGGAAGACAAGAGAAAAACTACCGTTTTGGAGGTTCTCCGAAAACCGACGCCCACATGAAGGGTCTTTGGTGTGGGGTGGTTTGTAGTTTGTAGGGTCGAGTTTTGGGTTCCCTCAGAAAGGCCCCCCATACGCCGGGCTCGGAAGCTGGCCACCTGAGAAAGGAAAGAACTAAGTCTGTATTTTTTAAATGCGGCCTTTGCTTACCTCTCCAGTTGGCAGCTCTTGTTTTCTTGCCATTGTAGTCGCCAATTGAGCGCCCGACCCCGGTGGTTCTACTACCTGTTTGTTGGGAGCAAACGTCAATTGTGTGTTGAGTGATAGTCAGTTTGTGCAGTATTCCAAAAGTTTCACTGGACCAAAACCAACTTTTCAGGAGGCATCCACTTTGACCAGGAAGCCCCAAACGAAATCTGCAACTTGGGATACTGTTTGAAGTTCCAATTCACAATGTTGTCAAGTAACTATTTGGTGCTGTTTTAATTCTCTTCGTGGGCTGTCCTTTGTCCATGAGAACGGGTGCGAGAGCCCAACGACACCTGTGGCTTCATTTTTTTTGAGTCAGAAGTGGCGCATCGTCCCACCGTCCGCTCTTTTCGCTGGGCTCGAGCGGATCCTACGACTTATCGGAGCGGTTCGCGTGTTCCTCGCCAAAAGATGAGGCGCGCTCAGAGGAGTTCGGCTACGAGAGACGGGGAGTCTGTCAGTGGCCCTAAAAATCTTCCTGTTGAGCCACTTTGAACTCACCAGTTTGGTCAACTAAGTGTATTTCCTTTGGGGTGAGAGGAGGACCCCTATGAAAGTGACCCTTGTTGGATGTGGTTAGGTGGTTATACAAGGGAAGTCGACAGGAAAGCCGCCATTGGTGGGACACCAAAAGGACAAACTCAGGCTTGGAGGATGTCACTTGAGCCACGAACGTAGCGGCGAGGGAGATTTGTTGAAGTGCGGCTTCGAGGCGATCGTTTTTGGTCTAGGTCCCCCAGTTTTGCTCTTTTACTCGTATACCCCTTTTTTGGGGAGGGTTCTACTAAAATAGACTACAGAAAAAAGGGTACCCTTATTCTAACCTCTGGAGGACCTAGTTGTGTTTTTCCGGTTTGGGGAAAGATCCGTAGCAATGCCCCGTTCAATTCAAAAGCCCTATACCAGTAGTATGCACAGCAGCTAACCGTTCGCGCGAGCATCCGTAAAGAAGATTATTGTTGCAAAACATACAATTTGCAAATCGTACGACGAGCTCTCTCGAGAACGAAGCGAGTTCACCATGATGAAGGCCATTTACTTGGGGTGATCCGTATTTTCAGTTGCTTAGTACAAAACAAGCAGACATACACTACATGCCCAACGCGGTTCTGACACGCTTGCGTAGAGACTGCATTGCGCTGGAACACAGTTGCTCTCTCTCAACTGATTGCCTCTCTCCGTAGTGAGAAAATATGCCCGTGTTTCTTTTGGTTTGCGCTTGCTAGGTACCAAGTTTCGAATTTTAGAGAAACCCTCTGTGCGGGATCCCCTTTGAAGAAGTTTCCTTGGGACCATGGATTGAAATTGGCCGACCCATCTCCTAATCCTTCAATCCATGTTTGTGTTGCGCGAATGACAACAAGCTCACCGATCCGGTAGAACAAGCTCGGGCTTTTGTGAAGCTCCCTAACTCAAGGGTGTCGGCCCCGTAAACTGGCAACGGATTCTTTCAATGTCCCTTCAAATTTCTGGTCCCAAAGCGAGAAACACACACTTGAGGACTGCGAAAATGCCAGCTGTGGAAGTTTTAAGCAATTTGCGATCTATTGCTACTGTGGATGGACGAAATCCATTTCGCACCACCTTGAAACCATGGTTGAAACCATTGTTTGTCGATATTTACAGGGGAACCATCAGAAACCAGGGTTTCTGAATGGTGGCGCCTAAGAGGATTTTGCAACCATCCACGGTATTGTCAACTCAGGCTGAGCCTTCACTCACACCATGCATGTAACACCCCAAGGACCAAAGCGTAACGCCCATAGGTGTCCCGTTGGGTCATTTTTTTCTTGAACACCCAGGCACCTCGCAAAGTCACAGTTTTTGGCGAACGCCATTTCATTTACCAGTGCCAACTTGAATTTGCCCAAAGCTCACTTTTCGACTTTCTGAACTTCACACATTTTGGGTTTGGAATTCTAGAATTCGAGTGGCCAAGAACTGGCTTGGTCACCTTTTGGGCCATTCTCCGGTGAGGCCCGGTTCGCCCGCAGGTTCATGGCGCGCGCTTTGGTGCTTCCCGTCTCTCCGAGGCGCGGAAAATGGTCCCCAGCCAACCTGAACTAGGTCCAGGATCGTGCCAACTTTTACTCGTACCGTTTCTTTTTCGGGTTCCCCTACTAGTGTCCTGACTTGACTAGTGAGCAATAGGCCCTAGGTCTTCCAGTAGTGTCCTTTTTCCATTTCTTCTTGGGACAATCGGGTACCAACTTATGCTAACCTCTCAAATCTGAAGGACCTAATGAATATGCGGGAAAAAAGTAAGCCGCCGATGCATCGGGCATCTTGACCGACTCTACTTGGGATTGGTATTGTCATCCACCGCTGCGACGTTTAGGCAAGGGCTTTTGAAAGGAGCCACGACGTACCTTCGATCGACAAAAAGGCTTCGCCGAGACCATGCGTGAAATGGCCGGTGTGGGCAGTTTCCGAATCTGAAAGAAAAACAAAAACAACAAAAACACACACTGTCCTTTGCAAGACCTGCGAACATTGTTTGTCCTCAAGGTCAGGGAATGCTTTTTTGAAGGCTGGCCAGTCGCAGCGCGGCAAATCCCAAGCCGAATAAATTTCTTGTCAAAGCCGGAGCGGAGTTCTTCTCGCTGAACATGGGGTGCGGGAGAGGGGATCCCTTCTTTTTTAGGGCAAATGGGCAGACGTCTACCCCATTTCGATTGCACTTAACCATCACTTGCCTTCGGTTTTTCCGAAGCTCCCATCCAATCGCTCCATTTGGGGCTAGGGAGCAGGCCCCGGGCTTTTGAGCGGAAGGTGTCCCCGAGGAAGCAGGAATCTCTAGGTCTGCCAGGATCGTGCTCTTTTACCGTTTCTTTTTTGGGGGAGGGTTCCCCTACTAAAATAGACTACAGGGAAAAAAAAGTCGGGTACCCTTATTCTAACCTCTCTACTGGAGGACCTAGATCTCCTCCTTGATGCTTGGGCTCTTTGCAGAGTCAAAGTCCCGTTTTCTTTGCTTTCATGGGGAAATCGACCCGAACCGCTGGCGTCCAAGTCTTGTTTTTCTTCGGTTGGGCAGCTAGGGTGCTCCAAGTGCCTTTCTCTTTTTTGCAGCAATGTGATGCCAACTTTGCGCACAACTCGGTAAAATCCAACCCACTTGCGTTTGGGCACCCCCCCCCGCAGGGGTCCCCATAATTCCATTTTTGGCAGTTTTAAACATCACCTTTTTGGCCCATGAAAAGTGAGTATCCCTTGGGGGTGATGTTTTCAGAGGGATTTTTGGGGGGCGGGGCTTCCCCCCCCGCCTTGTTGGCCGCTTCCTTTTCGGGCGAAGCCGACACCCCTCCGAACACGGGGCTCGCACGGAGCGAGCTCGAGCCGCCGGTAGTGCGAGGCCGGGCGCCGGCTCCTCCCTGAGCAAGGCTTGGCAGCAGCTCCAAGCCTGCGAGCAAGGCTTGCGGCGCCGGTGACGTAAGCTTCCATTTGCTTAAGCACATGTGTGTATTTCCCTGCTGCTTGTAAGGATCGATTCACTACTGGACATGTTGTTGTTTTTTTTCCAGTGGACTTAAGCAAATGGAAGTAAGGTGGTGGGAGGGGGGGTTTGGGATGGCTTGGTGGGATGGGGGGGGAGGTTGGGCTGGGGGGGGGGGAACCAACTTGGTACAACACAAACCACCACGGGGGGGGGGGGGGGGTTGGGATATTGGGGGGGGGGGGCAGTTGGGCTCCAGGGTGTGGGTGAGTGGCAATGTTGACCCCGGAAAAAGCTGAAGCCCTGACATTTTTTTGTCTAGTGGGGGTGCTTTCCGTTCCAAGAGTGGCAAACATATCCACTAATTACCAGGACAACCCCCACATGAATGAACAGGGGTTGATGAATCCGGGGTCAACATTACCGGTCAACAAATTGACACCTGCCCAAGTTTGTGTGATTTGTAGTCTCTTTCTGCAACAAAATGGTGTGCGGCAAAGTTAAACCACCAAGACAGGGTTTTTTGAGAGCCGGATGATGGGACATATGAGGGCTGCGCGCCTTTTACTCGGCCTTGTATTTCAAGAAGGAACCGCAAGGGGATGAGCATATTCCGACGTTGCTCCCCAACCCGGGGATTGTGGCATGGATTTGCACCCATCACCCCATCACCCGGGCTGATTCGTCGGGCGGTTTCCCTGGAGCTGTTGCGTGCGATGCCCATGCGGAAACCGCTGGATTCAAGAGCCTCCGAACTCAGAATGCATGGGAACACATGCTTGTGCGTGTTCAGAACGCCAAATTCGGAACTCATCACAGTTGTTTTTGGATCTTAGATGAGTTCAGATTCTAGGACACCCCAATTTTGGTCCAGAATCCGAAGATCTGACGCCGCTTGGTGCGACCCCAGATTTGTGCCACCCTAAGGCTCATGACAATGAAGAACCCTGACCCCTCAAGGGGCCCTGGAAAACAATCCATGTTGAGCCTTAGGGCAATTGTTCTTTCACGAAAGCGCGGCAGGTGCCTTGCCGCCGGCCATCTTCCTCGTGGTGCTCGGCGCCGCGCCAGCGGAAATCCCCCACGGAATTCTGCAGCGTTTCGGGAAGATCGGTCCGGGTTTGGGCCATCTTTTTGCTTTTTAAAGGGATCGGACCCCCCCCTAGTCGTCCTGTTCCATGTTAATGGGTTGGACGAAGTTGGGCAAAGAAGTTGGGCAGAGTTTCCCCGATTTGGCCGAACTTGGCCTGGGCCCATTGCTCGGCCCCTTGGCGTTTTTCCGCCGGAGTCATCCTTTGGTTGAGCCTGGGGGTTCGGGGATTTGAAGCTCTTGTGAAACCACCCCAAACTGCCAAGCCATCAAGCCAAATTATGAGGGACGCTGACTGTAGAGGGACGCCCAAACGTGTTTCCTAGGTATCCTCTTTCCAGCCATTTGGATGTGGCTCAAAATGTAAGAGCTAGGGTTACGCAGGTTTCCATATACCTAGGGGCCATTTTGGGTACATTTTTTTGAGCCACAGCCATTTGGACTTCTGGAACCTCCTCTTTCCAACCCTTTGGCCTCACTTGGCGACTTTGGTGGCCTTCAACAGCCCCTTAGGGGCTTATTAAACCCGAAGCCTTGGGGTGGGTCTGCGGCTGGGCTGACTCACGAAGATTTCTTGCTTGGGGATTCCGAACATTTTCAGCATCGGAAGTACAGTTTTTATTTTGCCCATGTCTGCCCAGCACCTTAGAGGAGGACACTTTTAAGATGAGTCTTCCAACTTAAAGCCTCCACTGCCATGATTGCTTCACGGAGGGAACCAAGCCGAATCCGCCGGCAAATCCGAAGTCTTGACGAAGTTGGCGTTGGCATGTCCGGGCAATAGAAGGTTCCACACCCAACGAGGGACCCTTCAGCATGTCATTTGTCTTGCGGGCACGCGCGAAAATGGGCCGCGTGAAGAAGGTCCCTTTCGCCGTACCTTCCCCGTTCTTTCGAGAGATCCGTTCCGGCAAGCTTCCAAACGTCAGGGCTGGAAGGAATGGAGCAGAAATCAACCCGCAGGAAGTTGGAGTTGTGAGGAGCCCTGGTGTAGCGACATGATTGCAGATGTGGCTGGGGCCTGCCTTTTTTGGTGTCAGAATCAGAATCCAAAACTATTGAAGCGAACCACCTGTGGTACCCGAGGCTCCTCCGCACCGTCCAAGAATGGAGGTCGCACACATGAAGTTCGGGTCATGACGAATGAGCAATAGGCCCGAGGTCTCCCAGTAGTGCCCCTTTTCCATTTTTTTGGGGGGGAGAGTTCCCCTGCTGAAATTGACTACAGAAGAAAGGGCACCCTTATTCTAACCTCTCTACTGGAAGACCTAGATGAGCAATAGGAAATTCCGCAAGTTTTTGCTTTCTTCGGCAAGTGCTCGAAAGGGGGGTGAAGCCGCATCTCCTTTAAGCGGAAGAGACTCAAGCCCCGCCATCCGCGAGCGACCCCGAGCTCTAGGTGCTTCGCAAGAGGCCGATTTGGCCGATGGGATTCGACGCCTCAAGGGACCCATGGATCCCCAAAAGCCTTGGCTGCTGCAAGTCCAAATGGGGTAGTCCCAGTTGTTCAGTGGATTCCACCCTCTAAGAGTCATTTTGTTTCGTCTGTTTGGGACCCAACATGTTTTTAGCCAAGCCACCATGAAAGGGTTCAATGCTTTTTCTACAAGGTCCGCTGGTTGCGACTTGTTTGGGGGAACATGCAAGCGGCCAATGCAAGCGGAGGGAACCTCCCTGTCGTGTTGGGCGTCCTGGTCCTACGTGGTTTGAACCTGCGGATGGTCAAACTCCTTTTCGCACCAGATGGATGAAACCCTAGGACGAAATCCTGCACCACCCAAGAAACCCTGGGTTCTGATGATTCCCCTGTAAATACCAACAAACGTTCTGGTTTCCCCTTGTTTCATTCCGTGGTGCGAGAAGAGGATTTCGCAACCATCCACAGAAACTGCAAACAGGTTTGTCAACCACCTAGCTACCGGTGCCTGGCGTAGACCTCGTGCATCGGCACCTTTGTCAAGCTTGCCAGTCCCCCCCACTGGGATCAGCACGTTTGTCAGAGAAGGATCCTGTGCATAGCTGTCCTTTTTGGTTGTTTTGCTTAAAGGCTTAAAAAAAATAGAAGGCCCTGGTTTACCTGGTGGTTCAATCATCTACCAGGGCCATCTATTTTCCAAAAAGGACACCTATGATCCTGTGTTGGAATAGGGTTCGAAACCCGAAAATGGGGTGTTCGACAAGGGTACCCTCCGCGCTGGGCCCTTGACCGCAGAATTTGGATACCCCCTCTTCCCAACTCACCAGAAGGAATTAAGCGGAGCTTGCTCCAAACAAGGGACTCCAGTCAGGTTCAAAGTGAATGGGGAGGCAAGGGATCAATGGTGAATAATTAGAATGGAGTCTTGGTGGACTTGCAAACCAACTTTACTCATAATTGCAGGGGGAAAAGGTGTGTAAAATGTAGCCCTTTGTATTCTGCAGTTTCTATTGGAGCTGACAACTGCTTGTTCCGCAATTGCCAATGTGTATCACTTTCACCTCAGGGTTTCTCGAGATGCCCACAGCAATGATCCACAAGCTCTTGTGACGCAATTCAAAGAATCCATGAATACAGGGCGCCCAAGCGACAGCGCACATTTGTACGCATGATCAGTCAGGTATCCAGCCCAGATTCTCTACGCCCGTCCACAGAAACTGCGATTCAGAAATGGCTGAGAAAAGGTGGAATCAGTTTGGGATTGTTTTTTCTTAGGTGACCTCCCAAAATGGAGTTCGATTTTCTTTTTGGCTTACCGTTACCCGCTACACCCTGCCAGAAAATGGTACCAACTCCAAAAGAAAACGAGCCCATCTCTCAACCGTTTTCAACGCTGCCCATTGATGTGCGCAACATGCATGCCGAAGCCTTGCGAGAAGTGAAGATGATTTTGTTGTTCAGTGGCGCTCGTTTGCCGGTGGGTTCACCACCAGAACTTGACCACGGCAAGGGCTCCCAAAATTGTCAGCCCCGGAAAGTTGGAAAGGGTGGTCACTGGGGAACTAGGGTGTATTTGCTTGCATGTGCAGAGATGGGTGGAGATATGGCCTGTTTGGGAGTCCGTTTTTCAACATGGAAGCTGGCAGGAGGGGACGACAACACTCCTATTGAGAAGAGTTCCTGTCCTATGATTGTTGGAAAGAGGGTGTCCCAAATCTCTTTTGGTCTGCCTTGTTTCCAATCCGCCTGACCACCAACAACATCCCGTTAAACGAGAGTTACGGCAATTATTTGAGGACTAGATGGTTGGAAGGGAGCCGTGCTGATCCAAATCTGGCTTCCAGTGGAGCGAAAAACACATTTTCCTCCAAATAAGACTTGAATGGTTCAACTATTTCAAGACTCAGTTTGTCCTTTGGGCAGTGCGCCAGACACGTGCATTTTCTGATGTGCATTTGAATGGTTTTCATGTTGTTTTGTGGGAGAGATGGACGATTTCCCCCCAAACAGCTGGAAGCCACCTGGGTGGTTTGCAGGTTTTGAGGGGTTCCGGAGATGCGGTGCTTTGGGCTTCCGATCCCTGGACCTTCTGCGACAATGGCGGATTTCTGTGGTGCGGGCCTGGTGGCTTTCTTCGCAGGCCCCGCACGACTTTGACCAGGACCAAGCGGAAGAGGCGGGATGCTGACTCGGACTCGAAAGTGTTGGGAGGGGAGGAGAGGCATGCGCATGTTGCGCATCCTTGGACATTTTTTCGGTGGGAGAGGCAAAGTGTCGACAAGTTTTTTTTCGGACCAGCCACTTGGGCGGTGAGCAGAACACTACCCAACACACCCATCCCGGT